AGGAGGAGGAGGAGGAGGAGGAGGAGACAGAAATCTACAAATCTACCTGGGAGTGGTCTGAGGGAGAGTCCTCTGCCTCAAGCTCTCAGAAAAGGAAAAATAATGCCAGACTTGGCAGAAGACACAGAACAAGAGAGGTACATGTCAAGAGGAAGATCACTTAGTCCCTGTCCTAGTCAAATAATTATGAATTCATATCATGACAGAAGGTTAGTGCCTTCTATCAATTTAGAGGCCTGTTATTGATTTTGCCTGTAAGGAGCACGTCTTCCTGGCAGTAATTTCACAACAAGCTCCCCCACCATGAAAAACTTCGGCAGGCTTCTTGTGTGCCAAGGACTGTGACAGCCCTTCCAGATCTTATAGCTCATTTAGCCCTCAACCTCAGGAACCTTGTGACCAGGGAGATCTGTGTGTTGTAAATGTCTCTCATCTGTGGCTTCGAGCTCTGATTCATTGGTTTTCTGCTCTCTTCCTTGCTGGGGATTGAACTTGGGGCCCTGAACTGTCTCTGTAACTTTTCTAGAGGAAAGGTTCCCGAAGTAGCTTAGGTTGGCCTTGAACATGAGTCTTCTGGCTCAACTCTGAGTGTTGACATTACAGGCATACACCACATGCCAGCTGTAACATAATTCTCTGATAAAGATAAATTCCTAATTTCACCATAGTCTGGTTATCAATCTTATCTTTAATGGCTTGCCTACCTGGAACTATGAAGATATTCTCCATACTATTTTCTAGAACATTGGTTTATCTTTGAAATTTGAATCTGTGGTCAACTGGAGACAGGTTTTGTGTATGGCACAGGATAGTGGTAAAGATACGTTTTCCAAATTAATGCTTACTTGAGCTGGGTGCTTCATGCCTGTAATTGTAGCATTTAGGAGACGGTAGGATTGCTTTGAGCTCAGTTAGCCTGGGCTATGGAGTGATGCTCTTTCAAGAAGAAACAAAGCTGGTGCAGTGGGTGATGTCGCTTGCCACCAAACCTGATGAACGAAGTTCAATTTCCAGGACCTACGGGGTTAAGGAGAGAACTGACTCCTGCAAGCTATCCTTGGATCTAGACACACAGACACACACTCACTCTCACACATATATACACACACTCATGCATATACACTCACACGTACACACTCACATACACACTCACATACACACTCTCACACATATATGTACACACACATATATATACACATACTCTTACGCATATACACTCTCACATACATACTCTCACACATATATGTGCACACACATATATACACACACATGCACACAAACTCTCACACACACACCGCACATACACTCTCACACAATACACACTCTTTCACACACAAATGAAAATTTAAGAGCAACAACAACAAAGCATCCTTTCTTCTGAATCTGTCTCTGAACTTCCTCTTTGTGGAATTGTTACACCAAGGCTGCACTTTCCTAGTCTCTGCCGCTCTTAGATGCATCCTCCCCTCCCTCCAACCTGCTCCCTCCACCCTGCTCCCTCCTCCCCTCCCTCCTCCCTTCCTTCCTCCCCTCCCTCCACCCTGCTCCCTCCTCCCCTCCCTCCTCCCTTCCTTCCTCCCCTCCCTCCTCCCTGCTCCCTGCTCCCCCCTCCTCTCCTCC